TCGGGGATAAATTCAAACTTCAATATTTCAAATGCAATTTTGTTTCGCATTTCTCTTTTTATGCTCATGCTCTCATTCCTCACATCATCTTTGGATACTATCCGTATTAAGCTTATGCATTATGCATCAGACTTAATCCAGAAAGGATTCAGCTTATGCATTATGCATGCATCAGACTTAATCCTTCTAAAAGGTAAATTCTGATGTTTTAAAATAGCAGTAATATACCCAACTGTATCTTTCATCAAGACCTTTTGACCCTAAAGCCACATTTCTATCGGCAATTCTAAAAAAAAAAAAAAAAAAAAAATACAGTGAAAAACAGTTAAAGAAAATGGATTGCTTCATCTGGCATGTAAGGCATTGCAACTAATTATAGTTTTGAAAATTCTAGAGCTTACACTTCAGTTACTGTTATCAGAATCTTTCGAATCTCAGTCTCGTCATTTACATAATTTTCACTAGTTTCTGATGCTTCTTTTATTTCAAACAATGATCAACAACAGGCAGAACGTTTGAACAAGTTCTTGACTCAACTATGGAAAAACAGAGAACAATTCAACTGCCACCTAAACCTTCAAGAAAAAATAATGCAATTTTTCCTCAAAGCAATCAATGGGGAAAAAAAAAAAAAAAAAAAAGTTTAAATCCTCCTTTTTTTTTAATAATTAAATAAATGTTTACATATAACACACTTTTTAAATCTGATTTACAACCAATATATGCTATTTTATATGGTTTCTTAGTTTAACTGACTAGTGTTTTGCCTAATGTCCAGTACAGTGCAGGCCAGTTAAATGGAATCTAATGTATCAAAATATATCAGGTTTCATTCCTAGAAAAGCCTAACTTCATGCAATTTTTATCGTTTTTCCCTCAATTATACAAATCAATTTTCATTTGAGAAACCTAACCTTTCTAAAACAGATACCATTTGCGCACCTTCTATGAAATTTATTTTTCTGACTGTTAGCGCTTTGTACTGCAAAAGAAAATATAACAAGGGGAATACTTCATAATAAACTAAACTATTTAAAAATACTATTACCTTATAAGTCAATAACAAATTTCAAAAACACAATACACACTCGTCCAATTCAGATAATTACCTTGTTCATTACCTGAAATTAAAAAACAGAATTAGAAATGAAAAAAAGAATTACTAATTTCACTCTACAACTCATCCAATAAGTAAAATCATGATTTAGAACTCACTTCAGGATTTGATTCCAAAGGCAACCATCTAATAGAAGACATTGCTGAAACGTCAAGAAATTAAGTCTTTAAATAATAAAACTAAGTCTACAATTTTAAAACTTTTCCACCGTAAAAACACAGCAAGCGTTATCCTAATACGATCAGCTAACAGCCGGTCAAAAGTCAAACTGACAGAATGACAGACAAAATACTGTTTTGCAGCCACTAAGTCTTTCTGCCGACAGGATAAAAAATCAAGCTTAAAAGTCCTATGTCCGTTTCTTCTCTTATATAAATCTATCCTTCGACCAGCATTATTCTACGCTAAACCTGTCTGGGGCCACGCTGAAAAAACTCACCTTCAACACATCCACATTCTTCAAAACAAAGCACTCAAAGAGATCATCAACGCGCCATGGTTCATTCCAAATTCTTATACCCACCGTGATCTCAAAGTAGATACAATCCAAGATTATATTCAAAAACTTGCCAGAAAATTCTTCTATTCAGTTCTCACTCATCCCAACAACTGCATCAACTCTCTTAGATGTTCTCCATTTCACAGAGAACAGCACAAATATCCATCTGACATTCTACATAACATTTTTTACTTATACTAGATTCTTCAGTTCACTGATTTAGACCTGCAACCAGACACTCACCTTTCTCGTCGACTGATGGTGGCCACCTGACTTTTACTTTTGTCTTTTTGTTTTACTGATGTTCTTCACGTGATACAGAGTAAAAGGAGGCGCTGCTATCTGAAACTCAAATTCACTATATGTTCTTAGTAGTAGTAGGAAAAATATGACACCTCGCCTATCTTCTTAGGGCAAAGGATGCCTTCATGAACGACTTTCTAAGAGAACTGTCTCATATTCACATAACGCATGCAAAAAAACATAAAAATCAACCATGCAGTAGGCCCGTTCACCTGGGTCGAACTCTTAGCATTCAGCGGTTTTAAGGCGACGGATGCCTTCGTGAAGGATCGTTTAAGAAAAATTGACTCCTAAGCATATTACATATGGGAAAACCACGAAAATGCCATGCAACTCGTTCGTTCTCTGGAATCGAATTCAGGTCGAACTGTCAGGGTTCAGCGAAATTTCCGTCCGCCTCTGGTTCGCTGTCGGAAGAGATTGAGATAGGAATTTTTTTCTACCTCTGACATACCTTTCATTAATTCATACCTATTAACGCCTACCTCTATTTTCACATCACTAGCTTATATTGACATCACTATTACTAGTGAGCTATTTTTTATGTGAATTTCTATTCATGATAATTAACCGTTCCTCCTTAGCTTCTTTTTTAATGTACTTTTTATTTAGGTATTTATTTATTTGCATATTACATTTAGATCGTAAACGATAATAGCGAAAGCTTCTACACTTATGATAATTAAACAAATGTTATAACATTATCGTTTTCATAAATTAAACTTTCACATAAATAAAACACTGCTTCTTTTTGTGAAATAACAAGACATTTTTTATTTTTATTTCGCATCTTCTCTTTTTTTTTTAATGTCAAACACGGCACACGGTAACATTTCAGAAATGGTTATTTTAGATGCTTACTGAAGGGAAAGAATGAACTACTTAATTAGTGAAATGTAATAATTTTTTAACACCATAATTTAATCACGGAAGGAAAAAAAAATATTTTTTCTAAGCAAATGTAATTATTTTCTTTAAAACTCTTAATAATGAATTACGAAGAAAATTTTTTCCATCTGTCTAAATTTAAGCAATAATATCACAAAAATAATTGCTCTGGGGGAAATTGCTTTTTTTACGTGCAGAGTAACTTCTTCTTAACTAAAAGACTCACTACTTCGAATTTTCCATATGTCAAGATGAGTCAATTTCCTGCAATGAAAATTCCGTGAAGACAACCCTCCAGCTAGGCTTATAATTTGTATGTGCCTTGTGATTAATCAAAACCCTACCCACTCAAAAATATGACAATTAAATTAAAATTTAGTTTTATACTAAATATCGAATCAGATTCGAATTTGTCTTCTCAATTATTATCAAATAATTTCCTTATCCCTGAAGTCTGTATAGTAAAATCTTTCTGCTCAGACTATATAAAGTAATGTCTAGAACAAGGGTTACCAAAACTGCGAACTTTAGCTGCCAGTAGGTCACCCCAACGTTTTTTAGCTCACGCAAACATATTTTCCTTTTAAGGTAATGTTAAAAACCAAAATAATAAATACATGGATATATAATAAATTCAAATCACAATTCGCGAGATACATGCTGACTACCGCTGCAGCAATAAAATTGTCTTAAAATTGAAGCTATTCATTTGAATAGAGATTAAAGAAATAAATTGAAATACTATTGTTTCATAGAAAATTCATCAGAAACAGAAGTTTAACCTCAGTAGATAGTTTAATCTTTGATCTTTTCAAAGCATTCATCATTATTAATATAATGCGTGAATTGCTAATAAATGCCGATAATCCTACTTTATTTCCTAAAGTCATAAAAATGCTTTATATAGGCAGGTAGTATAATAATACGATATAGTTATACCGTTATTTATACTGTATTGTTAATGTGGAATGGTTTATGCAAAGAAGTTGCAAGAAACCAAACAGATATGCACTTACATTCAAGAACTGGGGAGGAAAAGGATACTGTCTACATAGGTGGGAGGGGAAGTTAGAAGTGATTTGGGCGAAAGCATGACGGATGGAGTGAGAATCACGAGAATGAGGTTGATGAGGGACCTGCAATTCGGGGGGAAAAAGAATGGTCGTGGGAAATTTTAACGCAAAATACGTAGGGGAGGGGGACAAAGAAATAGAGTTCAACACTTTCCGAACAAAACCTCTGATATAGTTTTAGCTATCAAGCAGAATCAGTGAGGGATTAAAAAAAAAGGCGTTCTCCGAATTGTTCTCCAAATTCGGGCCTTGAACTGAGAAAAAAAATAAAGTTCTGCTCAAGTAAGAATTTTCTTTCCCCCGCATTTAATTACACCCTTTCAAAAATTCCCCTTCTAATGTTTTCGGGGAATAAAACACCCTCTCATATATTCGCTCCACCTCCTGAAGAAAAAGAGTTCGACGTGTGTGTGGGGAGATTTTCTATTCTCTCAACCTGATCATCGAAAGGCTTATTTTCCAGAGAAAAACAGACATATATTCAATTAAAATCGGTTTAATCTTATTATTAAAATAAAATTTGCAAGATTCAAGGTTTCAAGGCTTTTTAAATTGTGCTTTATTTGCAAAAAGAAGTGCCGGAGTCCTCTTTTTTAAGGGATCAGGAGCAATTCAAGCTCTGACAATAAACCTGATAATCACTAATGTATTAAAAGTTCTAGTCAGGCAAGGAATCGAAACAAATGTGGGCACCTTTTTTCGTTTCATCCTTGAATTCAATATCAGTTGAAGTTTTAATATACCTAATTCAGAGGTACAGATTGGTTCTTGCATTTCAAAGGGTCCCTTATCGCACAGGTACACATTTTATAGCAGAAGCAATTTTTTTATTTAAACATACAAATGTAGTTGAGCGCCAGAGGATAAGGGCGTCTATCCTGTGGCATAACTTGCATACCCCTGTTTACTGATACATTTCTTTTTTGGTTGCTTCAGTAAATGAATGCTTATTCAAATTCGGAAAAATCCCGAGACCGAAAAAAAAAAAAAAAAAAAAACGAAAAACAAAGACATGTGTAGCTTGAGCCAAATAAGGGATAAACATAGAGGTATGGCAACCAAGCATCTAATTTTTTTGCGCTTGGCGAAACAAAAATGATGCCAAAAGTCGGCGCAATGATGCTTTCTGATTGGCTGAATTTCTTCAATTCCTGGCGGGGTTTTCTCCGCTGATGAGTAATGAGTATAACATTATAAACACTACCTAGATATCTTAGCAACGGGTTTGTTTTTTGTTTGATTTGTGTTGGTCTTGGACCCTGAAATGAAAGTATGGTTCCTTGAGATTTGAAAATATTAGAAAGTATTGTCAGGATAATGAGAAAACAAAATTCAACCGTCAGATTCAAAACAATCGTGCAAATATTATCATATGTTGAGGTATGTTTTTCATTTTATACCTGATGTTAATGACCTTGGAACAAATCAAACGCATGCTGTGATTTAAAAATAAATAAAAGATTTGTTCGCTATTGGGTAAACATGGTAATATGTTGTTCCGTTTTCTTGCTTTTTTTTAAAGAGTTTGAAACTAAGAAAGTTCAAACTTCAACTAAAAGATAAAATAAAAATACTATTTTATTTGCTGCTACTTTAAAGAGATGAAACATGCTACCTACATTCTAGAAATGATATCTTTTTAATAAAAAAAATAATCTGTTTGGAATGAATTATTTGATTATAAAAAAGTCTGGTAAGGCAATTTATATAAGGATAGGGATGCTTTTGTGGAAGTTTGTGCGAGAGAAAATTCTCTGTGATCACATTCTACATAAAGTAAATGCAACTGAGTTCATTAAAGCGCTGGAAACAGGAAAACAGAACCAAGGGTGACTGATTTGGATTATTTCATTAAGGCATAAATATTAAGGCCATCTGCCTGTAGGAAAGGACAGTGTCAAATAAAGGCAGTTTTATGTGCCAGATAGAAGGCATGTATTGTGTCCTTTGTTTTAGTAGTGGTATATGGAAAACAGCTTAATATGAAATATTTAGTGTCCCTTTAAGCCTTGTGTTCTAAGTGGCTATCTGTATTGCCTATTTCCTAATCTGCAGCTAGGTAGGATTTTCTTATTGAAATTGGCCTGTGCTTACATTACACATTAGAAAAAAAATTCATGTACCTAGCCTTCAAACCACCACTTCAGAAACCATTGCAAACTATCAGTATTTTTTAGTTTGAAATGCCCACTTGTTAACCATTCAGAATTCTGGATTAATATCAGTCTTTCATGTTTTTAGCCTTTCAGTCCTGTAACAAAAAAATACATCATGATTGTGATATTTAGTATTTGAATTTTGTAACTTGAGGATCAGGCGTTAGCTAGAGGGGGACATTTGTCCCCGGGCGCAGAATCCAAGGGGCGCCAAACTGATGTTACGACATTTTAGAATTAAATGTTTTCCATCCTTCGCAAGCAGTAGGGGGCACGAAATCTTCAGTTGTTCCTGGGCGCTGAAAATTCTAGCTACGACTCTGTTGAGGATATGATACAACTACAGTACTCATTGCATCGGATGAGAACCAGTACTTTCAGCATGGTATGGCCGTTGACAAGCACTCATTGGATACCCGTCTAGCCATGAAAGAAAGTCTGGCAATTGGGCATGTAATAAGATGCTGTGATTTACATTGTAATGAAGAAAGGAATGCTACCAAGCATTTCCCTTTTACTTAAACACAGAAATTGGCACATCTTCATGAAAGTGTTCTCTAGTTCATAAATGAACTATTTTCATCCATTTATTTGCAGGGATGGCAATCCACAGGTGCACACTTAATAAACACACTTAATATATACACACTTAATAAATTATATATTTATCTCTCATTTTAATGGTACAAATATTAATTACTTAATTGATGCTAAGTTTAATAAAGGTAACAAGCTGTAAATATATAATGTTCTTTAATGACAATTTTAATGCAAATATGTATATTTATTTCATGTAAATGGTAATATTTATTCCTGAATGTTAGTTCAGTACAGGCTTCTGATGTATTTTCATGTTGCTGTATGCATTTTTAGTAATATTGCAATAATTGACGAATGCTATATAGAATTTCTGTTGCTCATGAATATGTTTCCTACTTCCAGTATGCTTGTTGCCTTTACTTTTTGTTAAACATACTCAGTTTTCTAAAGTAAATAGATGTTGTTGTGGCTAAGTTTTGATATTGATACTAAGTTTTCTAAAATAAATCATGTTGCTGATTTTATTGCAGTTCATCTATCTCATTAAAAAAGATAAACATATTTTTTAGACAATTATTTCATTAATTTGCAAATAAATAAATAACACTATAAGATAATTTTAAGAGAAATATTGAAATGCTAAGTATGAGATGAAAATGCAGGGAAGGGAAGGAAAATCTAAATTGGGAATTATTTTATTATAGATTCTTGCTGCTTTATTTGCTTTATTGCTTTGTGGCTGAATAATTAAACATCACGAGTAGTGAGTATATATAACACTATCTCATTTTTATTGTTATATTACTCTTATGAATTTGTAGGCATATACAGAGATTTTACTTATTTCTCTATATTTTCCCAACTCAAGACTAGCAGTATACTATTTTTGTATTATAATGCATTTAATTTGTAAGTAGTATGCATAATGCGAGTGAGTATGAGCAACTGATGAAAGAGTAGAAGCAACTTATGTACTGTGTAACAACTGTTATAGTTCAGCTACTTTTGACTCTAGGTAATAGAAAAAAAATCATAGAAATAAAAAAAATATAACCTTTTTTCTATGCATGATTGATTCAAGAGATTCAAGATCATGATAAAATGTAGGCAAAATTTAAAAATTTTTATTGATAAACTATAATTTAGTACTCATTCTAGATATATGTTTTGATTTTATTATATAATAAAATATACGTAGAGTAGACTTTAAGTACCCCTTGTTTTTATGGCCAAGTTGTTGTTTGATTTATTGCCAAGTTGTTGTTTCATTTATGGTAGCCTGAGTAGTTGAATGTTATGGAAACCCTATTGTGATGTAATCGGGTGCATGATTCTGGGAAATTTGAATCATGGAATGTTTTGAAAGCGTTTTTGTGGTGTGTGTTGGTTTGATTCTTTAGACGGTAGAATGGCCGAATGTAGTAAGATTAATTTGAAGTTTCTGTACGATTTGGAGCGTAAAGAGAAACGAGCTTTAATTGACTGGTGTGTAAATGAAGGTTTACTTAGTAGCCATTATAAGTGTCCTGTATGTAGGAAGGATATGCATCTAGTCGAATGTAAAAACCATTTAGATGGATTTGAATGGTTTGTAGGAAGAAAGGTTCAGATGGTCACTATGTGAAGCGTTCGATCAGAAAGAGTACCTCGTTTGAAAAAAGTCATTTGAGTATGACTGATATTTTTGATTTTTACGTGACTCTGGGTGTAAGAAGCGAACTCAAAAATCATGGTAAGTGAATACAGTCAAAAGTTGTTAATCCGGACTCGTCGGGACTTGGGCGATTCCAGATTATAGATCATCAGTTTAAATCTGGTAAGATGGCATGCAGAAATTATAAAATTAAAAATATGAAACTGTTATTTATGAAATAAAGAACAATTATGATCTAAAGGGTATCAAAATTTACAAAAAAAAAAAAAGCTTAATATTTATTTGTTTACTTTATTAAACATTTCTTTCAACAAGCGTCTTTTATGTGATAATACATTCTCTTTAATTCTATAAACAGACATAATTTCTTGTTCAGACAAATCCGCTGCAAGTTATATTGCTGTGTTGAGAAACCGACTATTTGTCAATCGAAATTTTTCGTTTTCAATAACCTCTGTCACTTCTTCGCTATTGGAAGCGAATTATAATGACAAGGAATTTGATTTAAATCATATCAAAGACGGAATACATCGAGATGAAATACTACATTTAGTAAGGAATTATAAGCCGAATAAAATAAAAACATTTGCCCTGAAGATAAGGATAGTGCTGACAGAATCAACTTCCAGTTCATTGCGCGCCGATGTCCCCCCCGCAGATGAAGCATGAAATTGATAAACAGATTTAAAGGTTCGAGAAACAAAGGATATGCCTTTTTCCATTTTTTGCAGCAATTCCACTTTTTGTTTAATGGACTTCGAAACATACTTTTGCTTTGTAGATCCTGTACATATTAGTAAATATATATCGAAATTCTGTTTGACATAATCGAAAGTTCAAGCTTACTTTATAAAATTGCTCTAACAGTCTGCAAAAAAATAAGCCTGATCCAATTCGAAGATTAAGGAACAACGCAGTCTGCAACATTAACTGAATTAGATAATTTTAGCTTAGCTTATACCGTCCGTTATACATTAAATGTGCATTCGTAAGCGTATTTTGCGCACGCGCACACATGCATTTGCAGCTGTAAACATGTTTTCTGCTCATGCGTCGCGTTGACGCATGCGCAGAAAGTTTGTAGCTTTGAGTTACGGATTATGGGTGTCCAAATTAACGACTTTTGACTGTATTTGCTTTTAGTAGTGCTTAAATGTATAACATGTTTTTCCTTTTTTATGTTATTTTATTGTTTGGTTTAAAATGCATTTTATTGAGGTTATGTATTTTTTGTTTGCCTATATTGTAGAATTTGGTGCTCCTTTGACTTTTTAAGTGAAAATATATCGAAGTGTACATAGACAAAGTAAAGGGAGTGCACAGTGCAAGTTTGTGCAATTCTGTGATTTTTTTTTTTTTTTAAGTGAAAATAGGTCGACGTGTACATGGACAAAGTTAAAAGAGTGCGCAATGCCATTTTTGTGCAATTCAAGGATTTTTTTTTAAAGTGAATATAGGTTGACGTGTACATGGGTAAAGTCAAAGGAGTGCGCAATGCCATTTTTGTGCAATTCGAGGTTCTTTTTTTAAGTGAAAATGAGTTGATGTGTACATAGATACCGAGTTTGTGCAATTGTTTGTCTTTATATTTTGGCTTCGCAAGCCAAAATAATGAGTCAAAGAGTTGCACAAAATCGGTATCCGTGTACCGCCAAAATTCACCAAGGGGTACCCTAAACTATACTTTTACCTAAAATATATTATATCAAATCAAAACATCTAACTAGAATGATATACTGATAGCTTTATAGTTATATCAGGATAATACTGAAATATATGAAATTAAAAATAAAATGCATTGCAGTAGACTCACACACATACATATATATATATTGCGGCTGATCTTTGGAATATTTTATTATTATGGTAGAACTATTTATTATATCTGATGCATGCATAAGCAGTTGACAATTAGAATATATTAGATAAATATAAATGCTGTAATTTCATTGTTGTAGCTGTTCAGATATATCACAGTATTTCAATGCCAGAGTGATTAAAACCACTGGACACTGGTGGTTTAAAGGATG